CTCCATACACTGCATGAGTCTCCCGGTCTGTATGTACCTGGCAGCACTGTTTTTCCAGCAACTATCAGACTGACTGAAACCCATGAGAACCACTGACTGTGACTGTGGGGCTGCTTCCAGCTGTTTGTAGAAGGCCTCATCAAAATCCCTCCACTTGATAAGGTGGCCTGTAGTGCACACTCACAACAGTGTCACTCACCTTAGCCTGCCCCTTAATTTTCACCCACAAGCTCTCTACTTGCTCACTGTCCATTCCCAGGTAGAGCCTGATACATTCCACTTGCCTCCTCATGTAAAAAGCAACTTCACTGCCTCACCATGCTGGTTTGTCTTTCCTAAAGAGACAGCTGTCAAGCTTATGCTTCTTGTTTTGTTGCTAATTTAAGCATGCTGTTATCTGTAACATTACAAAAGCATAATTTTACAAAGAAATAACAGTGTCCAAAACAGAGTGAGAAGCTCTGCGACTGAGTTAGGGCGGGGAAGTGGGTCTGCTCAGTGTGCTGTCAGCACTCAGCAGAGGTGAGGCAGAAGCCTGAGATCAGAAGATGAAAGAGAGCAGAAGATTCTAGACGTTTGTGATGCTGCTGTTGGATTAGTCTTGTTGGCAGATAGAAAGCGTGAGGGCTTCCTCTGGATGCTGAAGAATCTGAAAGCCATTCTGCAGCTACACTTGCCCCAACAACTGATACAAGCTTCACACCCATCTGCAATTCAAATTGGTTTGTGGTATTTTATTTCCCCCTTCATTTTAAAGTCTGCTGGGATAAGAAGGATCTTTATCCTATTATTTTGTTCAGAGGAAGAAATATTTAATACAATATCAGTAAGCAGAGCATAAGTCTCAGCGCAGAGCTATGGTATGTTTAAATGTTTGCAACACACCATAGTTCTGCACCATTTGCTTTATACAGAAATATATATATACACATATATGTGAAAGAGAAATGTTAATGGAAAACAGAGAAAAGGTGGATGTCTCTGCAGGCACAGAAGCACCATGAACACAGGAGGGGACACCACTGTGAAATTGCATCCGCATACAGATGAACCTCAGTAGGACCAGCTAGTGACAAAGTGCAAGTATTTGTTCTTCAGCATAAGCAATTCCCATACAAGATGGTTTTCTGTTTGCAGAGGCATGCTTCCAGGCCCCACAATGCCTTTCTGAACAGACTGAGATCTGAAAATGGATGTGGGAATGAACAGTGAAGTCAAAACCACAACCACATTTAACAACTATGAGCTTTTTGGAATTAAAAGAGCAAAACCCTGTGGGATTCTGCAAGACAGCCACACTATTACAATTCTGTCTTTGCAGTAACTCTCCCATGCAGCGGCTTTTGTCTTTGTATGGTAGGTGTTTCCAGAGTGATACTGAACAAAATTTAATCCACTGCTCTACAATTTCCTTCACTCTGAGTTCCTGACCTCTGTGCCCTGCATCACAGAAAAGCCTGTGTGACAGAGAGCTTCAAGTAGATGGAGAAATCTGACAGAAAACCTCTAAAAGGTGCTCTGGGGGAATAACTACTGTTTCTGTTTACTTAGGCCTCATGCCTTCAGTAAGAGAAGTTGGCCTGTGAGTCTGCCTCTGTGGTCAGCCTATGGTCTCCAGTCTGTCTGAGCCTGGATCAGGGGCAAGCTGCACAGAACTAGGCTGTGGCAAAAAGACCAATAACCCCAGCTTGGGCCCATGCATTCTCCTTCCCATGCAGGGAATATGCAGTAGATCTCCTCTCTTTATTTTCAGAGAGGAAAAAAGGATCATATATTTAATAGGAAATAAAATATCAGGAGGAAATTCCAACTACAATATGTGATTTCTACATTTCAGCACCTCTCTGCCTCAGCATCCCAGGGAAAAAAAACACTGCAAAGCCTTTTATTCGTGAAAACAATATCAGGCAAATGAGAACATTTTCTCACTAAAATGAAGCACTGTTGACCAAATGCTGAGTTTGACTATGATCTAACAAACTTCACAGCATTAACCTTGTTAATAAACTACATTTCACTTCATACAGGTGTCCAGCGAATAAATGTATAACCAAATACTGCAGGCAGCAGATGCAGCTACTAAGTTAAACAATGCTGAGAATGCTTCATACTTTTCTCTCACTGATCAAGCGCCTCTAGAAAGCCTGCACTTCTCTATTAACTTAACCTGTCATAACACAGAAGCAAATAGCACAATACATAGCATCAGTGCTGAAGTTTTTGGCATGTTACCTTCACAGAAACTTATAAAAAAGGGAGACTGTCTATTATTATAAAGTAAATCTGCTCCAATTTGGGGAGCTTTCTCTGTGATTACAGAGATTATCAAACAAACTGTAACTGGAGACTGTGAGGATGGCGCTACAATTTTTTTGAATGCCTCTTCAGTGTAATAGGTGAATTAGCTTTTAACCATCATTTCTCATTAAAATGTTTCCACGGATCTACCAATATCACCCACAGAATAAACCTAGGCATTTCCTATTAGCAGCTGTGAGAGACAGGATGTTGAGCAATATGCTTTTGGTATGAACCTCTTCATTTGTTCTCATCACAGAGGACTGTGGGCGGTGAGAAAAGAAACTGAGTTTGGCCAGAGAGATTAGTAATCTGACATTAACACCTACTGAATAATGAGGATGTGCCAGTAAAGTCCAAAAGAAATCTTGATGTATTGATTAGAAGAAAAATGTATTGCTGGGAAAAAGATAATCACTACAGGGAACTGGGTAATGACATCAAAACCACAGCTTTATTAGCTCAGAAGCAATGTTTCTGTTCCCATGATTGAACTGGAACTTTGCTCCATATATAATTCTTGCAGGTCTCACTGATGTTCACCAGAAAAAAAGAAATGAATGCTACATGCTGTGAATATGCAAACTAATGGATGTAGAGTAAAACATCTTGCCCTTTGATGCAGAAAATTCTTGGATTGATGGTTTGGATGGAAATTCTAAAACCTCAAGCCCAAACAGTTTTCATCAAGTCATTTTTCAGACATAAAGCAAAGCTGCAGATGGTGTTTATCAAGGTAGGTAGAAGATAAACTCCTCCAATCCCAAGGATGCTATGGAAAAAATCTTTAACATCAGTGGTCCTCTAAAAAACAAGGGAATTTCTATTTAAGTAATATTCATAGAATCATACATTGGAATGGTTTGGAAGAGAACTTATAAATCGTTTGGTTCCAATGCCCCTGCCATGCCCATGCAGATACCTTCTCAGCAAGAAAACATCTTCCATAATAAATTCATGTTTCTTCTACCTGACAAAGTCTGCATCGGTTCAAAATGGTTCTTTCTCATAGAGGCAGGCTTCATGGGAAGGAAGCATGAATTTTTTTCTGTAACAGGATGGCTATGCCGTGCTGAATTGTTCCTATCCTGAGTCAAAGAGGGATAATGGAGCACTGTCGTTCCCTCTGCAGAAAGGTACAACTGGGTAATTTGAACATGTGGAGAATGTTATTCACTAATTTTCAAAAGGCGCTTCAAGATTTGATAACTGAACAAATCCATAAATATGGCCCAAATTTCTGATTAGGATTACAGAAGAGCTGAGCTGCTGAGAGTTTTGTCTTTGATTTCTTCGACCTTTGATTAGGCCATTGTAAAGCTAAGCCAATTTGAAATCACTGCATTAATGTTTTCTAACAATTTACAAAACTAGAAGAATATTGGCTCAATTCAGTAGGACCTTAAAGGAAGTACACCTACAAAAGAAAACTGACTGCTGTCACTTCTGCAAAGGAAAGCCCGAGAAATAAACACTGCTTGAAAATGTGTCTACTGGGAGGACAGATTTACCTCTCGTTTCTTGTTTCAGTTGGTTTCACTGAAGAAAATAAAACTATTTTAAATTTAACCAGGAATTGGGCCTTCTTTTTTTTTTTTTTTTTTTTTTCTTTTAATTATTCATTTAATTAACATAGACTGCTCTAAATCTTGAACTGGCATTTTCATGAAATCTGAGACATTACTTCCTTTCCCTTTTCAGTATGTTTTGGTTTACATTAGATAAACCTTTCATCCAATCCACCACAGAGGAAATTTCCAAATTAGCATCTTTAATAGCAGATAGGATTTTTAGAGCAGAAGCAGAAGTTCTTTTAAAAAACTGGAAAACCAGTACGCAGAATGCTCCAGAATTTGCTGGACTCTCTCAGAGGAAGGACTTGTACCCAATATCAATTTGGATGGGAATTTGTTGTGGAAAAAAAGCCCCACTGCGTACAACAGAACTTTTCTGTTTGTTAATAAATTGTTATTTTACATTTTGTTTGCTTTGTCCCAGAAACAGTGGACACACAGCACTATAGGACAAATACTGAACATTATTTTGTATTAGCAAGACAATGCTCATCTAAAGTTTAGCATAAACATCAGGTAAAGAGGTTTACCAAAGTGGTTTTTTTTTCCTTTAAAATATTGATTTTTTTTTGATGCCAAAAAAAGTAAAAAAAATGACTTCTTCCCATTTGTATAACAATAAGCTTTGATAGGCAGAATATACGAAATATACAGTAACTTCTTCTGAAAAGCTATCTAGGCTTACTCAGCTTACAGTATGTGGAATGTAATTATCCAGAAAGTGAAATATGTATAAAAATAGGTAAAATCCCTACAACATTTGTACTGAATTATAATTCCTCCTGCCAGGAAGGTTACAACAACTCTACAGTACATGTATGAAATGTTTGTTCATAAAGTTAAAAAACATCATTACCGTACTGAAGAACACACTGAATGTAGGAATGCATAATCAGAACTGACTCTCAATTCTGCTTAGCTGGTGCAAATCTACAGAAAACCATCACCCATTCTGCACAAAACAAAACCAACCTCTAATGTGAGAGTTGTTTTTTCGTTTTGTTTGTGTTTGTTTGTCATAAAGGGGCCAGACTCAAGTTTACTAATGAAATTCCTCTGGAAGTGGAAGTACTTGTTCAAACACTTTTTTCCCTATCTCCACTCTGTTTACCAACAGCAGTCACCCACCTTTGAAATGATTATTGCCTGACATTACATGAAGCTTTTACTGCTTGTTCAGAACAAGGCAGTGAAATAGAAAGAACCTCCGATTCCCCTGGCATGACCCAGTTCTGGGCTTGTGCTTTTTCATGAGTCTTTGATCTGCAGCAGGCCTCATAGGCTGGTCTCCCGGAGGAACATGGTGCCAATGTTGTAAGAAACTTTCCTCACTCTGGCGGATGTGATGGAGGGTTTTGGCTGCTTCTGACCACTTCTGACCTCGAGGAAGTAACAGATCCCAGGAATTTCCTTTGGAAAGTTTTCTGGAAGCTCTTCACGGGAACGAGGGATAAAAATAAAATTTTCTTCCTTTTTCAAAAGCCTAGAAAAAAGGGGAACAGAGAGATATAAAAAACTATGAAACGCACTGCAGACACATTTCTATGGAAGAGATTGGTCCTATGTGATCTCAAATTTAAAAATGAATTTGAAGTATTATGTGACATCTAGAAAATCCTTGACCAGGATCCCCAACCAATCCATACTAACAGTATCACCAACTTCAAGGGCAGTTGAACTAGATGATCTTTAACGGTCCCTTCCGACCAAAATGGTTCTATGATTCTAGACCTGCTGAGATCAGCTGAAGAGAAGGCCCAAATAAATACATACTCTGAAAAACAGTGTCAGCATTCAGAAACTCATATACAAGAAAGAGAATCAAATTTGAAACCAAAATAGGTCCCATAACAGCAAAACCAGATTCAAAAAGAAACAAATCAAATCTGACACTATCCATCAAAAGCACCTGCAAGTTTAATTTAGGACATCTGGTTGAGGTCAAAAACAGCTACAGGCTCATGTGAGGTGCGACTCTCCTCCAGCCATGCCATACAAATGGCACAACGTCACAGATCCGATGATACTGCCTGTTGCTATTTGTAGTCTTTCTTCATGTTGGAAAAACTTTTTTCTGGCTAAATCCGATAATTTGGGGCCTTTTCATGAAAACAGCTTAGTTGCAAAATGAAGCAAATAATCTACACCTTTTCTATTTGTTTCCAATAAATGAAGAATCAAAAAGAACAATTTTGAGGTAATAGTAAATTCTAAGCACAGTTGGATATATGAAAGTAGCCTTCATCTTTTTCTCAAAGATATTTATTCTTTCAATCAGAGAGAAACTCAAAAACATCAGTGGGAAGAACCTCGTCAACTTCAGCAGATTTTGTAATAGGCTGTTCATTTAGTGTCTCTAAAGCTAATTTCTGGAGAGTAAATGACCGAATGAATCCTGTTGCTGGGTGAATATTCTAGGATTTTCAGCATATTTAATGTAACTTCCTTTACTTTTTTTTTCTTTTCTTTTTGGCTGGGAGAATCCATGTGAGCTCCTCACAATTTCTCTAACTATAAAGGCATTTTTTTCCTCAGCTTTTAAATAATCAGATGGCTGTAAGTCTAACCATGTATTTGCCTTTGAACTTCTGTGGTGGTCTTTGTTTACCATATGGTTTGAGTGTCATAATCTATTTTCCAGGCTGTCAACTTTACGAGCAAAACACAATGATCTTCTTTCCATATTGTGCGAGAGTTTGCAGAGGCCTCTGCAGAGAAACTTCTCTCATCTCCACAATGCTTGCAGTAAATATCTTGTATTTTAAGTCTACCACTTTAATACAATGAAGCAACCCTATTTTTCAAACTAGATTTTGCAAGGAACAGATGAACTCTTAGAACTTTCTGAGCTAAAACCACAAGCTTTCACTCCAGACTTTCTTCCCTGAATGGCCCATTCACTGTACAGCATCTAGCACTGCTAAAAATCAATGGTTTCTTTCTCAGAGCCCAAAATTATCTGATTGTAATGACAGTTACAGATAGATAGATTTAGTTCAGGGCTGGCCTTGAGTTTAATCAATATTTCACACTATTTTCCTCATAGGATGAAAGTGCAAGATATTAATCGACGACCTTATTTTCAGCTGTTTTGTGAGTTGCAACTTGGTTGTAATGAAATTCTCTGAGATTATCAAAAGTGCCAGCAGTGAAGGGTGACTAACCAATTAGTACAGCTATTTGGATATTTATCCACTGTGGCTTGTGATAGACTCCACATCACTATATTAGGCAATATTTGAATTAGCCTCTCGTCAGAATATGCCTAGCTGACCTTTTTTTTCAGCTCCCAAGTGATCACAGGCAGGAGATAGTCCTCTTTAACAAATATTAATGGAAACCACTTATAATCATATTCTATGCTACTTACTTTATATGCTTATGAAAAAAAAAATCTTGATGATTCTAATTAGAAAGGCTTTAAGCAAGATAAAAATGATTTCTTCCAGTCCCGTCCTAAAGTACCGGTTCTTCTTTGGACTCTGTAAACATACTGGTCCTGGCACTCAGTTTCTGAGACAGTGAGATCAGGTTTCAGAAATTGCATCTGATTTCTCATAGCTTTGTGTATACACCAAAAAAGGAGTTATCTGCTTATCCCCAGTGTTTATCAGTGGGGACATTTTTCTCCAGGAAACTTCTCTGCCATATTTAGGCGATTCACAACGTTAAAACAGTACCAGTTAATGTCTGCAACCCAGAGCCACAGCCCTTGCTAAGATTCTTGCCTTCCTCTTCAAGGGTATGAAGAGCTTTAAAGTATAGTTCTGCCAAGAGCTGAACGAGTAGTGCAGATTGACAGCAAGGGCAAAGCTGAGCCACACAACTGGCTCTTGCATTTCCCCTCTGACTCTGGGCACCAACTGGTGTAAAACCTTGTGTCTGGAAGCTTGTGGTGGCACCCTGTCCTGGTTGTTAGTCCCAGCTTGCTGACCATTCTCAGAGTGCTTTTCTGTGCCTGCTCTTAAAGTCTGGGAATCTATCCTTCAGCTTCCAGAAATTATCTGGCAGCTTAAACTCTACATAAAGCATTTCAAATCCCCTCAGTGTTTCACAGCCGTAGAGCTCCATTTGAGGTAATGCAACCTCAGCAGTTCAGGAATATGCATATAACAACTAGTCTGAAACTATTCCAAAGCCTTTATCTCAGCAGTCCTTCCTGCATCACTTCTGAATATTTCCCTTAAGAGCACTTTTGCAAAGGTTTTTATGGTAGGTTATTCACAGGGTCAGAATTCTGGATTCCACTCAAGCAGTTGGATACACACATTTACAATTCAGTGCTTAAACTGTGAGGGTCAGGCTACTCCAGCATTCCTACAAATTGCCTGGAACCAGGTCTACCCTCAGCTTGTCTTTTTTGTTGATGTTTCAGGGGAGGAAGAATTTGTTAAATGCTGATTTGTAATTTATTAACTTGACAGCTTCCCCTTCTAATGTGAAATCTTAACAGCTTAAATTCTTATTCTTTCCCTTCCCTGATGGAAACACTATTACTTTCAGACAAAAAGATGGTGTCTGAGAATCATCCACTTTTCATTTTCAGGAGTGGAGGGGAGATTGGTATGTTTTCCTGCACATACATGCATTTTAACCTCAGTATAATGAATTTACATGGACTCTAGATAAAATTGATGTTATGATACAATCTGGCAATTTGTTTAGTCAGAGTTAAAACACCCACTCAGAACTGAACAGTGATGTAAACTTCTTTAAGATATACAGTTTTGCATAGATCAGTGTTTGAGGTACATTTCTTAAAGAAATACAATGGACTAAATTAAAGGAGAACATATAAAAAGAGCCTTCCTAAAGAGAGCATGCAGCAAAAAGAACGAAGTGCTTAGGTCAATCTTCCTTACATGTTATCTTCTGTGACTATAAATTAAGAAAAATTATTTCTGTTCTAACTCTTACAGTGGGAAGCTGCTTCTGATGAAGTGTGCTGAACTGTCTTTACCTTGTTTAGCTCCATTTATTAATTGGTAAAATTAGGAAAAGCTAATTAATGGCTTCACAAATGGATTATCAGTATCCTCTGGGATTGCTGATCTCTTCCTCTGTGCGAATGAGCATTGGTCACTTCACTGGCTGGTATCTGGTTTCACAAAATACATCAACTCATTTTTTCCATATGAATTGTTGTGGCATTAATTGGAAATTGAAAGTCTGCTGATAAAATACACTATATAAGTGTATTAATTTGCCACTGTGATGCTCCAAATCAGTCTACTTGATCCTAAGTGTTAGTGGCTTTGAATTTCTCCCACTGTTTTTGTACATACTAGCAAGACTGGAAGACTGAGAAAAACTTGACTGTGCTTGATTCTAATTTATGTCACGTTGTACTTTATGGAAGTTCATGTATTGGTGTTTTTCCTTCAAGTGTAGTAATATTATGAAAGAATTAGTCCTGCTTTTGTATTTAATACATTGAGTATCAAATGCATCTATGCATGGTGCCTATCACTGACTTCTAATACTTCTATTTCTCACCCACTAAGCAGAAGAGTTCCTGTGTCAGCACTCTGATCAGGACATAACAGAACCAGGTGCAGTGATTAGGATTTTGCCATCACTAGGGAAAGCTCACAGGCTTTATATAGACCTAACAATATGGATCTCAGGATTTGTGTGGAGTTGCCTAAGATTGAGTTTATTTCAGTTTTAAAAATGTCTATCAGCCATATTGCTTAAGTAACTTTTAGCTTTAGTTAAGCTGTATGGACTGTGCAGCATAACATCTACTGTTACCTAACTGACAGTGATCAAACCAGAAATTATCCCATGATCCTCAAATGAGAATGTCAAGCAATGGAGAAGTTTGGAACTGGATTCACAAAACACAGCAAATATGGAAGTGCAGCCTCGTGGAGGCAGATGACACAGCTTTCAGGAATAAAAGGGAATAGAAAAACAAGAATAAACTAGTGCATTTGGATGAGACTTCTAACACTTGAATTAGACTGATTTTTTTTATGTCCATATACAAGCTGTGTTCCCTTTAGTCCACAGCTGAATTCTCTGTCCAAATATACATCTCATGAAAGCCTACATGGTGAACACAGTAAAAAGAAAAAGCTTTTTTAAACGATTGTCAGAAACAAAAATTTTAAAAACCTGAAAAGGCTCTTAGAGGGTAAATCCACTTATCTGCCCATATACAGATAAATACACAAACAGTAGGAAAAAGAACTTACTGAAAATAAAATACTCTGAGGCATTTATGGAAACTCATAATGTTTTAATTAAAAAAAAAATAGATAATGACAGCTGTAAAAACTTATTTTTAATTACAAAAAAGTAAAATGAGTTCCATGTAACAGCATAAAGATTCAAAATCTTGCTGGTTTTAATTGATTGTAAAGGCTGAGGGGCAATTTAGGCAAATGAACTGGCAACGACCTGACCCAGCTCCATGCAAAACGACCCTCGGTGGCTCTCTGCCCTAATCACATCAGGAGGTGGCTTACAGGCTGATCATCTTTGCCTACACTCAGGTGCTTGATGTATTGCCTAGCACGTGACAATGGGATCTGCATCCCATCCTTGCTTGAAGTACCTTATCTGTAAGGGAAATATGTACTAGAAAAGGTCATATGAGGAAAGAAGAGGGAAAAAAAAGTTATTATTAAAATAGTTACTTGATCTAACGCAACAATTCAGTTTACCTGCTTTTGATAACAGTGTTGAAGTCCTAAGGCGTTATGTTTAAATACTATCAAGAAAACAGAATTAAAGTAGATGTACTACATTAGTATCAGATAAATATTATTATTCAAGGCTGAAACAAATAATTAAAAAGTAATTAATCTTTCTTCCATACTGAACAGGAGACTGAAAAATATGATTTCCCTTGCGTATGGAAAATATGGTAATTTTATTCAGTTCAGGGCAATATAAATCAATTACATAAGCCTATAGCTGGATTTGCCAGTTTAATACAGGAATGGGAAATGTGTTATTCTCCTACTCCTTCCTGGCCACGTGTTTAATAAGGGCCAGCCTGGGACCAGTCTCTACAATTTCCGTGTGTTTCACCAGAAGTTTTACCAGTGCTGTTCAGTGCTTTTCATTGTACAGTACTCAGTGATTCAAAGCAACCAGTGCTCTGTAATCCTTCTGTCAGAAGATCTGTCTGTGTCAAGAGAACAAGGTGTTTTGAAAAGAACTGATCTTTTATCACCAGCAGATTCAAAGCCCACATTTGTAAAAGATGCTGTCTTATATCGCAAGCAAGTCTGCCTCAGGTTCACTGCTGCTGCTAAGCAACACCACATCTTATTTATTTAAACTCTCCTTCTCACACAGGCCGATTATGGGCTCATAGGGAAGTGTCTGAACCGTTAATAGGCATACTGATGTACGATTATCATTTGAACGCTGATGACACTTTGTAACGCATAATTTATATCGTAAAATGAAAGCTGATAAGTATGAGACATGTTTGCAGGATCTGCATGCTTTGCAAGTACAAAATATACTATTGGAATCATCATGGTAGACACACATGCATTATGATAAATGCCAGTAATTAAAAGGAATTCTGTTATTTTCATACTAATTGTGGAATTAGCTACTTTGTAGAAGACTGCTTCTTAGATAATAAAAACATTAAATGAGTAAATGGCAACACAGAATGATCATAGAATCATAGAATCACAGAATCATAGAATGGCCTGGGTTGAAAAGGACCACAATGATCATCTAGTTTCAACCCCCTGCTATGTGCAGAGTCACCAACCACCAGACCAGGCTGCCCAGAGCCACATCCAGCCTGGCCTTGAATGCCTCCAGGGATGGGGCATCCACAACCTCCTTGGGCAACCTGTTCCAGTGTGACACCACCCTCTGTGTGAAAAACTTCCTCCTAATTTCTAACCTAAACCTCCCCTGTCTCATTTTAAGACCATTCCCCCTTGTCCTATCACAATCCCCCCATGTTACTTGCACTTACAGCTCTCTGAATTGAGCCCTGATTTTGCAATCTTTTGCAATAACATTACCACATCATCACTCACTTTTTCACTACCTTCCTTTTTTTTTTGAAGCTAAAGTCAAAATGTGTAGTATTCTGGATGATAAAATCAGAGATGATGATCACATTAGGTGAAAGCTTGGCCATGCTGAAACAATTTGACTTTCATCAACAATCCAGTGGTTTCAAGACATACTCCCATATTATACCAAAATGTCACCTGATACTGCATGGCTCCTCCGTGACTGTTTTGTAAATTGTTTTTTGCTTGCAGGTAGCCATGGGAATCTTTCAGTGCTCCTATTCTACAGACTGCGTTTTCAACAGACTTGAGCAGTCCAAAAATAACACAAGTCTGAACTGTTAAATCAGTATATGTTTTTCTATGGATTCACCAGAAAATCAATATCCAAAACCATTCAGAAGTAAACTTTGTGTAAAGAACTAAAGTACAATCTTGTCTTTTTGTCTTTTACTTTATTTTCACAATGTCTACTTGAAAAAAAGAATAACTGGATCCCTTCAGTGAAAGTTGCTATTGTTCACCAAGTTTCAAAAGCTGTCAGTTATACACAACATATGAAACTATTCTAGATGCACAGTTGATGCTGTGACATTAAGCAGGTTATTTTTTGTTTTTCAGTAGAATGTGTAGGCTAACATCAAAAATTATCAATTTCTTCATTTAGGTCTACAATTTCATCAACAGGCACTCAGGCTGCTAACTGGACAATCATATATGTCCAATCCACTTGTCAAGCAAGCCAATGGGTTGGACACTCATAGACATCAGACCCATAAAATAATTCAGGCTGGGAAGGTCCACAAGAGCTTTCTCATCCAAACTATTGCTCACAAGAAGATAAATGCTGAATTCAGACTAGATTGCTCAGAGCTGCACTCAGTCAGGTCTTGAAAACATTCAAAGATGGAGAATGCTCAGCCTCTGTGCACAGCCTATGCCACTGTCCAGCTGTCCTCATGGGAAAGAGTATTTCTGCATAAGCAGGCTGAGCTTCTCCTCTTTATGTCCACTACCTCTTGCCCTCCCACATCACCGTATTCTGGACAGCTCAGATTTTCCTCCTTGATGATCTCCCTCTGACCACTGGAGTATGCTGTCAGTTCAATACAATTGTATATGAATACATATTTCCTATATATTTATAGAAATCATTTTTATTTAAATGAGTAGATTTTCTATACCTGACGGTAACTTAGGTCTATGCCTCTCTTGCACGTTACCAGAAAATGACATGAACCTGCTTCTGCACACAATGCAGAAGTCTCTTTGGATTTTCTGCCTCTTGTTCAATTAGCTACACTTGCGTCCCTTTCCATAAATCTGATCTCAAGTAAATGGGCTCTTCAGATAAGGAACATTTTATTCACTAGTTTTAATTACTTTTTAACTTTTATTTCTGACCGCTTTCTATTTCAGCATATCAGAAGTTTCAATGCTTGGATGAAGAAATTCCATTTAAAGCCTTAATTTACACAGGTAGTTTTGGGAAAAGTAAATACTGAGAGTCACAGGTCTGTAAAAGAAAAAAAAAAAAAAAGAGAGAGAAAGAAAGAAAGGAAAGAAGTATTGTTTGAGAAATTTCTGACAGGCTTACTGCAGAGGAACAGCCTGAAAACCTGAGCAAAACTGTACTTCAGAAAATTACTTCAGAGTGTAGAAAAAAAGAGTAAGATTTAGATCTCCTGCCCAAAAACAGTGAACATAGCAGTCATAATCCAAGCACAGAAATTCTTACAGTCAAGCTGTCAAATTTGAACAATAAGGAACACCTTTCATTATTTTAGGAGATGTTCTTCATAACCTGATTTAATCAAGCCTTTGTTTGATTATTTGCATAATTTCTTCAAAGAGGCAGTGATTGCACTTTGCCATTTCCAGTCTTTTTTCTTATATTAAGAAAATACTTTTATCAAGTGTTTCTTCACAGTGCTAAGAAACTTTGTTGCCAAGAAAGCACAAAAACTCCTTGGTGTCACTGTCAAAATTAAAAGCTTTCTCCTGAGCCAGTGGAAACATGCTTCATCTACTGTGTACAGCAGGTGAAAAGAAAACCCTTGTCTGAAAGCTGTGATAGTACACAAAAAGATGGCACTATGAGAGACACTGCCCATGAAATAAAAATCATAGAATATCCTGAGTTGAAAGGGACCCATTAGAATCATCAAGTCCAAGCCCTGGTTCCACACAGCACCACCCAAAATCCAAACCTGGTGTCCCTGAGCTCCAGCAGCCCTGGGCAGGCTGTTCCATGCCCACTGCCCTCTGGTGCTGCCATGAGGCCTCCCCTCAGCCTGCTGTGCTCTGGGCTGAGCACACCAGGGACCTCAGCCACTCCTCGTACCCCTTGTCCTGCAGATCCTTCACCATCTCTGCAGCCCTCCTTTGGACTCCCCCTAATAGCTTTATGCCCGTCTCATACTGCGGCACCCAAACCAGCACCCAGGGCAGGAGGTGAGGCTGCACAGCGCAGAGCAGAGGGTGCAGCCCCTTTCCCTGCCCTTTGGCAGTGCTGGGCCTGGGGCGCCCTGGGGCACGGTTGGCCCTTTGGGCTGTCAGGGTACACTGCTGACTCACACTCAACTTGCCGAAATTCAGAATCCCCAGATCCCTCTTCCTGCTCTCCACTCTGGTTCCCCAGCTTGTACATTGATCCAGAGTTGCCCTACTCTAGGTGCTTGCTCTTGCTTCAGTTTCTTGCTGCTGCTGATCCCTCAGCCCTCCAATTTATCAATATCTGTAATTCTTCCCTACTCTCAAGGGAATTAACAGCTCCTCTCAGTTTAGTATCATTCGCCCACTTCTGTTAGATGGTATTTTAGGTAGAAACTGCTGGCCCTCCTGTTGTGCTCCTTTGCTTTCACTGCCTCAGTTTTCTACACGTTCTGATACAAACATGCAAATGAATGCCTGAGAACATCATGCAATTGCTCTTTCCAATTATTCTGCAACCTACTGACTTTGTGCTGTAGTTCACATGCCAAGTGAGGGCAGAGCATGCTTTAAGAACTCACTGTAAACAGATTGTAATAAAAAAGCAGTATGAAAAGCTAAGAGCACTTACTGGTATGTGGTTGGACTGACATTGATGCGACGCGGATGACTTCCTGACTCAAACTTGCTTGCAAGAGTGACATTATTTCCAAAGAGACAGTAGCGTGGCATTCTTACACCAACAACGCCGGCCAGCACTGATCCTGAGTGAATGCCTATTCTCATCTGCAAAAACATAAGATTTGTGTCAGTTTGTCTATTTTGTGCTGCATGTGTTAATGGCATCAGCTCTAACTTACAAGTCGGCCACAGCAACCCTGTCAAAGAAATAATAAATCAGAAAAGGCAGAATGAAAGGAAGTAGGCTCCCCATTCCACAGGCTCAGATCAGACGCTGTTAAAAAAGGGGAAGAAGTCCAACATGGCACCTTTTCACTAAAAGCATTTTTGTCTGCTGCTTCTGTGTCCACTGTGCTGGAGAATACCACAGTCAAAACAGGAATCACAAACAGGACAGAACAAACCGCCAACTATTACTGCAATATCAGTAATTTATTTACACAAATAGATAGACCACAGAGGGTTTGTCACCAGTTCTGATGCAGGCTTTAAAACAAGACCAAATTTTCTCAGGCTGGAAGGAAGAACAGTAAAATAGAGTGAATGAATATGATACTTTTGTTCCATCATTTTTTTCCTGCCAAAGGGCTAAGGCTGATTTTCTCCTTTTGACAGATAGAGAGATAATGCAACAGTGAAGATGAGGAAATTAAGGCAGCAGTGATTTTAAAAATCATTTCATCCTCCCCAAAATAGGAAGGTATAAATTCCAAGAGAAAGGAAAAAAAAAAAAGGAAAAAAAAACCCCAACCTTGTAATCACTCCCTTGAAACTGTCTGAGATGTGGATATCAAACTGATCCTAAAAGCTTGGAATCGCCCTCCAAGGTTCCTTTAGAACAAGTAATCAGTTCAATTTATTCATAAATTTTAGCAACCTATTTTGTTTGACAATATAATAATTTTTACAAGTAGGGAAGTCTTTTTCTCTTGTTAACTTCATAAAATTAAGAAAAAAGAAAAGAGGCTTATATTACTAGCTTCTGAGGACACTTTTACTTGTAACAACTGTACTGAGACAACGTAGAATCATAGAATCTTAGAATGGCCTGAGTTGAAAAGGGCCACAATGATCATCAATCATTGTTTCAACCTCTCTGCTATGTGCAGGGTCACCAATCACCAGACCAGGCTGCCCAGAGCCACATCCAGCCTGGCCTTGAATGCCTGCAGGGATGGGGCATCCACAGCCTCCTTGGGCAACCTGTTCCAGTGCCTCACCACCGTCTGGGTGAAAAACTTCCTCCTAATATCTAACCTAAATCTCCCCTGTCTCAGTTTAAGACCATTCCCCCTTTTCCTATCACTGTCCACCCTTGTAAACAGCCGTTCCCCCTCCTGTTTATAAGCTCCCTTCAAGTGCTGGAAGGTCGCTATGAGGTCTCCCCAGAGCCTTCTCTTTTCCAAGCTGAACAATCTCACTTCCCTCAATCTTTCTTCATAGGAGATGTGCTCCAGCCCTCTGATCATCAACATGCAGGAAACAAATAATAAAGCAGAGGATCCAATGGAGACTGATTGAGCGACTTATTTATACCAACCTGTACTCCATTTGACTTATTCAACTCACATTTATCACAGTGTGTTTTTGTCTAATAATCCCTATTTTTAATAACCGTTAATGTCTGCCTAAATACAAATAAAATAATAAAATTATTATCTTGTTAGATTACATACCAGAATATATTGTTGAGAAATCACTCTTAGCTTTGTACCCTTGGTGCTTTTGAAGTTCTATGAACATGTGGGATCCCACATTATTTCACTCCCTATAGTTCTTCCCACGTGTCCTAGGCTTTTACCACACAGCTAAGCACCCTTCTCATTTTGTTCATCTCTTAAATGCCACCAGCAGTAGGTATGGCATTATATTTGCCATACACTAAGCCCATGCTAACCTAAGAAGACAATGTTCTGTATTGTGCGATATAACTTTCAGCTATCCCACGGCCAACATAAAACCTTCAATCCTCTCAGTAATGCTGTTAATTACAGGCTAGAAATAATAAATAAATAAATCTGTGAACAAACAGCACTCGAATTTCATTGGGCTTTCAAACCTTTACTATAGTTTGAAAGGCAGCTGCTGAAATCCCCCAAATACTATATCCCACTGGGCTGGGAAGCACCCACAAACTTGCTTTGGCTGCAAACATCTTTGCAAATCCATCACATCTACATTATTTTGACATTATTTAGGAGCATGAAGATCTCCAGCTTTTGCACAACATATTGCTCATCTACAATGGAAAAGAGTGGTTCCGTGTCAAAAAGTGAACAGGTCTCCTGAATGTTAGGAGATAAGAACTGCTTATGCCTGTACCTGCCCTCAGCAAAGGAGCAGACAGCCTTGTTCACACAAAAGTACAGCTTTCAATGAACAATAAAGCAGTATTTGCAATGTCTTGTTTTTCTGAGATAGGGGGATTAGTCATGTTGTACAGAATTTTATTTAAGAGCACAGCCTTATTTGTCTACCTGTACTCTGCACATTTATTAAAGGCTCACAAATAAACCACTCACTGTGACCTCTTCTAGAGAATATTCAATTACATGTGAAGGCCAGACCAAAACTACAAGAAAGAGCACTAGCTTTATTTTGCTGTTGGAAAGAGATGAGAGTATATACTAGACTGGAAGGAAATCCTGGTAGCAATAATAAATAAATGAAGGCACTAATAAAATAAAATTAACTTTTACAAGTGAAAGATGAAAGCTGATGTTTGGTTTTCACTTCCACTCTTTAAGAGCTTCTTTTCACACGTCCACCTAATTCCTTTATCATTCAGGGCTTAAATAACAGAGAAATTTACTCAGGATTTCCAAATAGTTGCAAAACTGTTAGGCTGTCCTGTTATTGATTTTGATCAATATATGTCCTCACACTGACAACCAACATAATGTATTAGAATTCATATTTCCCTTCAATCAAAACTGAGAAATTTAATTAAAATCTTCCTCTATTATGTGTATTTAGAGGAGTAAACAATGTTCCAAACTGTAATGATACCTGAACATTTATTATTTTAAAATTATTCTTCAAGGTTTTTAAGTACATGGTGCTGTGCAAAAGTATCTGTGCTAAACTCAGAAGAAAAGAAAGGACATCAGATACATTTCCTGACAGGTGGCAGTATGAAGAATTGGATGAGGACATGATAATGAGGAATTATTCTTCCTGATGAAAGGCAGAACAGGAAAAAAAGACAAGCCCATGATATCTTTCTCTTTGTCTGACAGTAAGGAGTACTTGATGCTGTAAAACGCAAGCAAACTTTCTCATTCAAACTTTCTCATTCATGGTAGATGTAATCCTTCTCCTGGTAAGCCCAGGGCAAAAATGCATGACGATTTCCAAAAATATGTCTGTGATCTTTATTTCAGAGATTTCCAGAGCCAAAATAAATTCTTCTTTTGTAAAGGAAAGGAAAAGTGTTTGTTGCTGACGCTTCCTCCTCAAATATGAACCATGATAACATTTCCTGGGAGTGGTATTTGATGCAATATGCAGTACGAGTACATATCCTTCCCACCACACAGGAAAGGACCTTAATAAGCAGTTCTCACACTCTGAAAAACATACTCCCATGCTTGAAAGAAAAGTCCCAGATTGCCTGACAGGTGAACTGCATCCAGGTGGTGTCAAAACCCACCTTCATATAGCTGCCTCCTTAATGCAGAGCGTGTGCTGAAGAGGTGAGGGTGGGCTGGAAGTAGGCGACGCAGTTTCAGCAGCAGCAATCCTGCATGCAGCCAGCCTGGAGGGTTTCAAACCAAATAATGTGACCAGATGGCAGCTGCTCAAGCTTTGTGCTGAGCCAGTAGCAAAGCTCAGGCAATATGAAGCAGGACCTACAGGGAAGTATTCCCAGGTACATGGACATCCCAGGCCACCATTTAAATACCATTGAAGCATTCTGCTGATCATTATTTTGGACATCAATTTTCAATAATCATAGAATGACAGAACCGTGTGAGAAGGAAGGTACCCTTAAAGGCCATCTGATCCAACTCCTCTGCAAGAAGCAGGGACATCTACAGCTAGATCAGGTTGCTCAGAGCCCCATCCAGCCTGACCTTCAATGTTTTCAGGGACGGGACATCTATCACCTCTCTGGATAACCTGTGCCAGTGCCTCACCACCCTTAGTGTAAAAAACGTTTTCCTTTTATCCAATCTGAGCCTCCCCTCCTTCAGTTTGAAACAATTACTCCTTGTCCAATAATATACTTGAATATCTGTACACTTCCATTTCTCAAAGAATAACTCATCACTTTCTGCCCTAACATATTGAGCAGCATTCAGTGTTTAGGTAGAAACTTTCTTTATTCTGTCCCTGTAGTCACCTTTAGAGAGTCACCTCTCACAGCATGTCTTAGGTATTAGTCCGTGACCCACTGCCAGATCCTCTCAAACAGAAAATGCCCAGTTCTGTAAGATCTTATCTTCTCTAATATTTGTGGCAACTTCTAACAACACCACTATCTCTGAATCTCAATGTATGCATTACACAGGGATATTTATCTGTGAAATGTGTTACTGCAAAATAGGCTATTCAAAGCTCAGAGCTCTAAAATCAGGGCACACACTGGTGAGTCGCGGTTCCTTTCTACTCCTTCAAAGAACTGCGTGTTGACAGGACCGACAGCTATGCCCTGACATATGCTTTAGTGTGGGGGTTATTTGTATTCTTAGATAGATTTATAAATATCACAGTGTCTTTCTGGAAAGGGACATATGACACCACAGCTCACTACAGAATTGTTGCCAAGGAACAGACCTGCTCAGAGGAAAATTTAGATCATTTTGAATTTCACAAGGTGTTCCATTGAACAAAACTACAGGATACATTTCCCCTATATTAGAATAACATTAAAAGAAATGAACACGGCTTTTTTTCTAATGAGAATTTCCTAGATTTCTTATTCCTAGACTTATAATTATTTAGCCTGTCTGAAATAAGAGACCGAAAATTATACATAGAAAAAACAAAATACAATAATGAACTAACACATTGAATTTCTTTGATCAATAAGTCTATGAAATATTTATTGGGTAAAGAAATTGTAGTTTGTGTGAAGGCTACAACTACTTTACTAGTGTGAT